AAAAATGAAGACCCTCGGATTGCATTACTAAACAAAATCCAGCTAAAACTTATGCATACGTTATAAATCTAACAAAGCAAAGCAAAATATTAAAAACAAATGGGCAGAACTATCAAGGAAAAACAAAGAAAGAATGTGAGGGAAGTATGGGTATAATGTTAGCTGTAGGCAAAGTAGAAAAAGTATAAAATGAGGGGGGTCATTTGTAATTAAAGGAAAAAGCTTACAAAAAAATAGCTTATCTTTACAATTACAAATGTAAGTTGGAGATAGCATATGCTGATCCAGCTAACATCAAACTATATAAAACAAAAATTACATAAGTCCAAATAAATAAATAAAAACAGAATTGTCAGAAATTTTACTACCTTACTCAGCCCTGAGATTTAAAAAATTAAAACAGATTAAAATTAAAAAAATAGAGAATGAAACACTGTAGGAATGTATTTCTTTAAAATTGAATAATAGATATAACAATTTAAATTCAAGTGTTGTTTTTCTTGTCTACTAGCTATGTGACTTCCTTTCTCCCTCTGTAAATGGAAGATGTTAACAATGTCAAGTCACAGTATGATTCTGTAGATTAAATGAGATAATATCTTTAATTGCATAGCCTAGTACCAGGTAAACTCTTAAAAATGCTATTATCATTATTGTTATAAGTAAGAAAAATCTTGTCTGCTATGACTAGAAACTACTCATTTATTCTGCCTTTGGGTGGAATGTTCCTAAACATAGCTCTCATATTATGTGACAAAGAAAGCTTCAAAAGAAAAACTGAATGAACCAATTTCTAATAAAAATAAAAATAAATAATAAAAGTTTATCTAAAGATAACGCAAACACATGCAAATTTAAATCTACCATCTCTAATACTTAGAAACTATCTAGACATGATTATTAAAACCCCAGGGATACAGCCAAAGCTGTACTTAAAGGAAAATTCATTGATTGAAAACCTTTTGTTAGAAAGTGAAAATAAATAAGCTAACTCCTCTACTAAAGCATTTTAAATGGCAGTAAAAGTACATCAAGGAAGCAAGAAGAAACGATAAAAATGAAAGCAGATGTTAAACATCAAAAGTGTAAGTGATATTTTGGTAAGCAGAATAATGTGTTTTCCCATCCCTCCCAGATGACCATGCCTTGATCCCCAGAACCTGTAAATATGTTAGGGTACATGGCAAAGGGGAGTTAGGGTTGTGAGAGAATTAAGGTGACCAATTAGCTGTTTTTAAAATAGGAAGCTTACCCAGGCTAATCTGGATGGACTCAATGGAATCACAAGGGTCCTTAAAGTGGAAAAGAGAGGCAGAAGAAGTGACAGCATCAGAGGCAGATGTGACTACAGAAAGTCTATTGATACAACACAGAAGAGCTGGGCCTCCTGTGTCTAGCTTTTCAGGTGGAGAAATGGAACTGCAAGACAAGGAATGGAGGCTGCCTCTTGAAGCTGGAAAAGCAAGGAAATGGAAGCACCCCTGGCACCTTTAGATAGGAGTACAGTCCTTCCTGCACCTCGATTTTAGTCCAGGGAGACCTACACCAGTTCTGACCTACACAACCATGAAATCATAAATTTGTGTTGTTTTCAAGCACCTAATTTGTGCAATTTGTTACAGCAGCCACAGAAAGCAACTACAAATATATTCAGGAACTTGTCATGTAGTAGAAATAATCAGATAAGCTAAACTTCTGATTTTAAAGAAGAAAAAAACCTCAATAATAAATGAGTTACATTTTAATGAGATTGCAAGAGATGAAACATGACTGTAGTGAATAAAATTCTATGGTAATATATTTGAAAATCTTGAAGAAATAAGACATTACATTAGGAAATATAAATTAGCAGAGCTGACTTAGAAGCCTGAATTAAGTGATAATAACAGAAGAAATAGACAAATGTATATAAAATAATTTCATTCAGGGAAGTGTCTTGTTAGACTTTGGTGAACTTATTTTTAAATGTCAAGGAAAAGATTTCTTTATTGTGTAAATTATTCCAAGATTTAGAAAAATAAAGAAATCTGTTCTACTCAGAGTATTTTATGAAGTTGGTAGAACCTTGGCATCAAAACTGGGTAAGATAATCCAGAAGAGTAAAGTAGACAACAGTATAAAAATTAAAATTCTTGGGGTGCCTGGGTGGCTTAGTCATGATCTCAGGGTCCTGGGATTAAGCCCCACATTGGACTCCCTCCTCAGTGGGAAGCCTGCTTCTCCCTCTCCCTCTGTTGCTCCTCCTGCTTGTCTCTCTTGCTCTCTCTCTCTGTCAAATAAATAAATAAATAAAGTCTTTTAAAAAATTAAAATTCTTGAAATAGAACTTAGGATATTATTCATAAGTTTGAGATGTAACAAAAGTGGCATCACCAAACAGTATGAGAGAAAGGTGCATAACAGAGAGGGGATAATTATACACTCTACATTACACAAAAATAATATTCTGGATAAGTAAAGAGTTAAATATTATTGCCATTAAAAAAAACTAGAGCTGAGCCCCCCTCCACCCCCCCGACTGGCTCCCAGAGAGCTTCCTAAAGCGAGCGAACCCAGTCAGCACCTCTTGAAATGGAGATGGTCACTTCTTCAGATAGCTCCCCAGCTCTGGAAAATGAGCATCCTCAAGAGACCCCAGAATCCAACAATAGTGTGTATACTTCCTTCATGAAGTCTCATCGCTGCTATGACCTGATTCCCACAAGCTCCAAATTGGCTGTATTTGATACTTCCCTGCAGGTGAAGAAAGCTTTCTTTGCTTTGGTGACTAATGGTGTACGAGCTGCCCCTTTGTGGGATAGTAAGAAGCAAAGTTTTGTAGGCATGCTAACCATCACCGATTTCATCAATATCCTGCATCGATATTATAAATCAGCCTTGGTACAGATCTGTGAGCTGGAAGAACACAAGATAGAAACTTGGAGAGAGGTGTACCTACAGGATGCCTTCAAACCACTCGTCTGCATTTCTCCTAATGCCAGCTTGTTCGATGCTGTCTCTTCATTAATTTGAAACAAGATCCACAGACTGCCAGTTATTGACTGGGAATCAGGCAACACTTTGTACATCCTCACCCACAAGCACATCCTCAAGTTCCTCAAATTGTTGATCACTGAGTTCCCCAAGCCAGAGTTCATGTCTAAGTCTCTGGAAGAGCTACAGATTGGCACCTATGCCAACATTGCTATGGTCCGCACCACCACCCCTGTCTATGTGGCTCTGGGCATCTTTGTTCAACACCGAGTCTCAGCACTGCCAGTAGTAGATGAGAAAGGGCGTGTGGTGGACATCTACTCCAAGTTTGATGTTATCAGTCTGGCAGCAGAAAAGACCTGCAACAACCTAGATGTGTCTGTGACCAAAGCCCTACAACATCAATCCCATTACTTTGAGGGTGTCCTCAAGCGCTACCTGCACGAGACTCTGGAGACCATCATCAACAGGCTGGTGGAAGCAGAGGTTCACTGGCTTGTCGTGGTGGATGGGAATGATGTGGTCAAGGGGATTGTATCACTGTCTGACATCCTGCAGGCCCTGGTGCTCACAGGAGGAGAGGAGCCCTGAGCTGGGGAAGGGGTCAGGCAGCACCAGGGGCTATGCCCCACTCACTGCCTGCCCAAAGTTCTAGGAACCACAGGTGAAACCTTGAGAGAATTGTGACTCTCTTCCCTGCTCGGGAGCCGGGGAGGGTGTGGGGGGAGGAAGGAGAATGGATTTTTAGCTGTCCTTATCCTCATGCATACAGCCTAGCCCATCCTAGCCCCAGCCCTCTTAGATGTAGCCCCCTTTCTGGGTGAATGATAGGCTGTGTGCCCCTCAGGCCAATTCTGATCTCTGAGAGATCCCCAGACCTCACCCAGCCTTTGCCTCCCTCTCTGCCCCTGACTCCACCCTAAGATAATAGCACAACAAAACTCTTCCGAAAGATATTTTTATTCATCCTGTTTCATGCTATATGGAGGAGGCTGAGTCCATTTAGTGACATTTCTTCCCATAATGGGAGTGGGGAGGATTGTAGGGAGGAGGGTCTTTGGGTTCCTGTGCTATGTGCATATGAAGGGAGATGGGGGTTAGGTGGAGGAGGAGGGCAGAGTGATTAGCTGAGGTTGTTGCTTTTCATGGCAAACCTAATTAAAATGACAGGAACCTCTTCAAAAAAAAAAAAAACTAGAGTATGTAATATCATGATGAAGGAAGGATCACAAATCATTAAGGAGGGGATACGTCATTTTTAAATGGCACAGAAAAATCTGGCCATTAGCATTTAAAAGATAATTTTTGATACTTATCACACTTTTCTCACTAAATTAAAGGCCAGATAAATTAAAGTTAAATGACAGAGCTGTTAGAAGTGGGGAGTTGCTTTGTGACAGATAGATTGCTCAGGGTCTGGACTTATTCTTACAGATATTGGAGGACTCTATCTGTTGGGATGCTGTATAAAGGCCACTGGAGAGGTCTCTGATCATTCAAGCAAAAATACCCTCCTCTGGTCACTCTGTATATTTGCCTTCTTATTTCATTCATGGCACTCATCACAGTCTATGAGTATCTCATTTATTTATTGCTTTTTTAATGATCTGGTAACTCTCTGGAATGTATGCTGCATTAAGCTGGGGGCTTTATCTCATCTCTGCCCTCTGGATTGTATATAGCAGTCTATCAAGTAATATTTTTTTTAGATAAATGAATGAATGAATTCATTTTTTTTTCTCTAAGCCTTATGCTATTTACATGAAATGTAGGGGATATTCCATCATTATGGTTTATTCATAAAGTATATAATCTGTTTATATTTCAGATGGGAAATAAATTTGCCCAGAATCAGGGAAGGCAGAATAAAAACCAATGTTGCATATGCTAAGAATATAAGGAACCACTCCAGCATCCTATAACACATCCATCCACAGACTCACACCTGAACTCAAGCATATGGATAACAGAAGGAAAAGCTTTTACTGCTACACGTGACTTGGAGAGAGCTTTGCATAATACATCTTGATCATATAAAGTTAAATTAATTGCAATGTATTAGTTATCGACCAACAAGTTGGTGGAGTTGAATACCAGTTCCAATTTATAGTCCCTGTTTATCCTGTAAGGGAAAATTTCTATTTATCTTAAGAAGTTGCTTTGTAAGCACAGTTAAATTTTACAGCATCAGGAAACCAGTGGTATCTTGGTAACCTGAAGGCTACCTCACTAGGAAAACAGAACTCTGATGATCTAAGATGTCTGACTGAAGAACAAGACAGCCATTGTGAAGAGGCTCCTGTCTTTATTTTTGTCTCTTTTCCAAATTTACTTCCACATAAACAATGTTTTCTTCACTACTTAATTCTCATTATTTCCAAACCTGTCATTCCTAGTATTTGGCTTATTTAATAATCTTATTTTTGTTCTTAAACAAACCTAATGATACTATAACCAATGTCTTGAATATGAGGAAACAATAAAGTACATCACTTGATGTTTTCAGAAGTTTATTTAATGGTGTACACAGGAAGTGTTAAGCTGTTAATGTTTCTGGAAAATGAAGTATCTCTTTTCATTATATAATCAGGGCTGGAAGTGATTTTCTCCCTCTCTGGAAAGGCCTTCCATACATTTAGCATATGGAAAATACTGATCTTTCAGGGAATACTGATGCCATAGAGAGAGCATATTTGCAAGGAAGAACAGTACAGAGCACTCAACTGGAGAGAGAGAGAGAAATGCATAAAACATTGCACATAATAGATTCTCAATAGTATTTGTCTAATAAATGAATAAATGCATTTCTGTTAAGAAATCAAGCAGGTAGCCCAGAATGAACCATGTAGATTAAAAGGAAAGAAAATTTGGGCAGGAAATAAATTGTTTATGGCTTTCAGCATATTAATTTGTCAAGACTCTTTGTGATTAGCAGTAAAGGTTCTGAAAAGAAACATGGATTTCCAACAGTGTCCAATGGGAGGATGATAATGATTGGAACAAAGTAGAGGACAGAGTAGATGGGAGAGACCAAACTGTCAGCAGGAAGGTCAAGTTTTGTCATTAGTTCTTTTGTGAGAGTGAATAGTAGAATCTGTCATATATTCTATGATTTTTTTTTCTAATATACCATTCATGAATGCATTTGGTCATTTATTCATTTAGTCATTCACCAACTGCTCATTTAACAAATACTTTTTGTGTGTCTCCATGTACCAGGTACTCCAGTAGACACAAGGTATAGCAAATGAACAAAACAGGTGGTGTCTGGTTTCATGGTGCTTTTGTTCTAATGGAAGGATTTAGGCAACAAATAAAAACTTGCTCAACATGGTCTTGGAAGTTCTAGTAATAAGCAAGAAAAGAAATAAAAGGCATACAGATAGGCTAAGAGGAAATAAAATTGTTTCTCTTTGCATATGACCTGATTGTTTACATAGGAAATCCCCAGGAATCTACCAAAAAACCTTCCTAGGTAATCTCAGCAAGGTCAAAGGATTGTACAAGCTCAAAATAACAAAATCAGTTGCATTTCTGAATACTAACAAGGAACATACAGAGTCTGAAATTAAAAACATGGTATCACTTACAATTGCTCCAAAGAAAAGGAAATACTTGGATTTAAATCTAATAAACATATATAGGATCTTTGTGCTGAAAATTACTAAATGTTGATGAAATAAATAAAAAAGATCTAAATAAAAAGAGAGACATCCATGTTCATGGACTAGAAGATACTATAAAGATGCCAATTTGGCCCACATTTATTTATAGTTTTAATGTCTTTCTTATCAATATCCCTGTGGGGTTTTTGTTGGTGGTGGTGATATAGATATGCTTACTCTAAAATTTTTATGAGAGGGCACAGATCCTAGCATAGATTAAAAAAAAATCTTGACAAATAAGACTAATATTTGAGGTATCACTCTACCTGATATGAAGGCTTACTATGTAGTTGCAAGAATCAAGACAGTGTGGTATTATGAGAGAAGTACATAGAACCATGAAACAGAATCTAGGACCAGCAATCAACCCACACAAATATGCTCAACTGATTTTGACAAGAGTGCAAAAACAATTCAATGAGGTAGGATAGCCTTTTCATCGAATAAACTCATATTTTTACAAAAATTAACTTAAAATGGACCATGAGCTTATGTAAAATGTAAAATGAGAAAACTTTTACAGAAATAAATAGTGAAAAATATTTGGGACCATGACCTAGGTACAGAGTTCCTAGACTTGATCCAGGATCAAATAATAAATTGGACCTAGTAAATCAGGTGAACAGACAAACTACAGACTGGAGAAAATATTCTAAAACTACATATCCAACTAAGGACTAGTATCCAGAGAATACAAAGAACTCTCAGAACTCAACAGTAAGAGGTGCTTCCAGGGAAGGTGGCAGAGTAGGAGGACCCTAGGCTTACCTCATCCCATGGACACAACTAGATAACACCTACATCAGTGTAAATATCCCAGAAAATGACCTGAAGACTAGCTGAGCAGACTCTACACAGCTAAATGTAGAGAAGAGGCCACATAAAAGAGGATAAGAAGGGCAGAGACATGGTTCAGAGTCAAATGGACCTATGGAACTCTCTGTGCAAGGGAGGGACACTGTGAACTCAGAGAGGGGGAGAGGAGCAGACCCAAAACTAGGCACCCCAGGCACAAGGGACCCACACTGGGAAAATGAATTCCCATAACATTTGGCTTTGAAAACCAGAGAGGTCTGGCTTCAAGAGTTTTTATAATCAGGGGTGTTTAACACCTGGATCTTTAAAAATCAGCAGGTTAAGCTCTGGAAGCCAAAGGGTGATAGGAAACTGAGTCCTTGTCCTTAAAGAGGCAGCTTAACAAATAGTCCTACTGAGATACAGCATAGAAGCAGCAGTTTGAAAAATGTCTAGGGTATACAGGAAGAAGATTTATTTAAGAATCTCAGAGTGTGTGCTGGAGGGACAGGGATCTGTGAGAGACTTCTTGAAGAGCAAAGGAGGTGGCGGGCATTTCCCTTCCCTGACCCCCAGCCTAGATAAACTGATACATGCAGGAATGAGCACAGTACTAACACTCTCCACTTAGCTTGCTAAAGTGTGCTCTGCCCCTGGGCTATTTTGTGCACCTACCCCATCCATCCTGGCCTGGGCAGGAGTTTTCCAGGCTGGCTGCAGGTTCCCTCCAAGAGTGAGCTAGTGTGGACTTTGCTATCATCCCATGACCTCTCCCTGTGTTCTCTTGCAGACATACCCTCCAACATGCCCTTGACAGGAATCCATCCAAAGTGGTATCATCAGCCTAGCAGTGTGCAAGTAGCCTCAACAGGGGCCAGGACCACTCCAAAATGACTCCTGCCCCAAGGAGAGGGGATGATAACTACACATATTAGTCTACCTGCAACCCCAGCAGTGGGCTGGGAGCAGACACAGGGTCAGACAATAGGCCCTGTGCACTGACAAAAGCTTTTCAAGAGACAATGCAGGGAAAGTGCCCTGCAGTTTGGTGCTACTGCATCTCTAGCAAACACCTGGTCTCATCTCAACTTGAACCCAAGGCAGCCCCAAACTGGCCCATTAACAACACAGAGACCAAACCCTGCCCACAACAGGCAAAGAGAGCCATTGCAGACAACTGGACTGAAGGCAAATGTGCCCTAGTCACAACAGCAGGGCACATGCAACATACATAGGAGACACCTGTGATGGGCCAGGTTCTACTGAACATAGGACATTGCACTACAGGGCACTACAGAAAGTCTTCTTCATATGGCCACTACTTTCAAGAGCAGGAGATATAGATGACTTTTCTAACACATAGAAAAAGACACAGAAAGTTAGAGAAAATGAGGAGACAGAATAATATTTCCCAAGTGAAAGAACAGGATAAAAATCACAGCAATATTGCTGAACAAAAAGGAGATAAGTAATATGCCTGATAGAGAATTTAAAGTAATGATCATAAAGATACTCACTGGACTTGAGAAAAGAGTGGAGGACCTCAGTGAGACCCTCAACAAAGAGATAGAAAACATAAAAAAGAACCAATTAGAGATAAAGAACTCAATAGATGAAATGAAAAATGCACTAGAGGAAGCAGAAGAATGGATCAGCGACCTGGAGGACAAATGAATAAAAAGCAATCAAGTTGAACAGGAGAGAGAAAAACA